CACTCTTAGCGTCCTAATATTTATTTCAAAAACGTCTTTAGTCTGTGATGGCTGCTAAGTTAAAAATACATTAAACTTGTACCAGAAAAATAGTAACCGGGATTTGTTTGTAAATTGATTTAAGACGAACGAATAAAGAATGAGGTTTTTAATTGATGTAGCAAAACATGTTTGCAAGAGAAATTTATTTTTCAGTAACCAAATAACATAACCAGGTAAACCAAAAATATAAAAAATAACTTTTATTTTTGAATTTCACAGACCTGTTAGGTCGTCAAGGCATTCATGACATGTGGTTTACATAAGGTAATGCATTTTTTGCACCAGGGCAAGTAATCACATATTTGTGCATTTTCGGAATATTCCGCCACTGTCCATATGTACTTGTATCAAAGTTTTGGGACCTATCTGTTGAAAATGTGTCAGAGTTAAATTGTATACGTATACAAGTACAGTGCGTTACCTTGAGTGCATTTATTAGTTAACCGCATCCCACAGCATGTCTACTGATTGGCTTATTAACCAGGCTTTCCGAAGGAAAAAACTTGTTATTAGATTGAGGTATGTCGGCGGGCGGGCGGGCGTAAACATTTTCTTCTGTGCGCAACTCCTCCTACATTATTCAACGGATTTTGACCAAACTTTCACAGAATGTTTGTCATCAAGTGCCCTGGCGCATATTGTCGGGGTTTTGTGATTGGATAAAATTTGACCTAATTTGGGCCCTTTGTTTTTTCCTTATATAGAATATATAGTGAACAATTTCTTCTGTGCGAAACTCCTCCTACATTTCTCAACGGATTTTGACCAAACTTTCACAGAAGCTGTGTCATTAAGTGCCCTGGCACATATTGTCGGGCTTTTGTGATTGGATAATTTGACTTAATTATGGCCCTTTGTTTTTTCCTTTATATAGAATATATAGTGAACAGCTCCTTCTGTGCGCAACTCCTCCTACATTTCTCAACGGATTTTGACCAAACTTTCACACAAGTTTTGTCATCAAGTGCCCTGGCGCATATTGTCAGGTTTTGTGATTGGATAATATTTGACCTAATTATGGCCCTTTGTTTTTTTTTCCTTATATAGAATATATAGTGAACAATTTCTTCTGTGCGCAACTCCTCCTACATTTTCCAAACGGATTTTGACCCAAACTTTCACAGAAGCTTTGTCATCAAGTGCCCCCGGCGCACATTGTCGGGGTTTTGTGATTGTATAATATTTGACCTAATTATTACCCTTTGTTTTTTTCCTTATACAGAATATATAGTGAAAATTTCTTTCTGTGCGCAACTCCTCCTACATTTTTCAACGATTTTGACCAAACTTTCACAGAAGCTTTGTCATCAAGTGCGCGCGGCGCACATTGTAGGGTTTTGTGATTGTATAATATTTGACCTAATTATGGCTCTTTGTTTTTTTCCATATACAGAATATATAGTGAACAATTTCTTCTGTGCGCAAATGACCTCCTACATTATTCATGATTTACATTGTACATAGTAACATTGTTTGTTGCTTGTATTTGTATTTCAACTACAACAAATTATCTACAATGGTGATAATTGAAAACCTGGTTTCGTGGCATTGCCATGTTTCTTGTTTTTGCTGTTTTACTTTTTTTCTGTGGATTCATATTGTGACAACAGGGAACGTGCTTTCATGTTTGACTATAATACAACAGAGAAAGAGCATCAATACACTCGGCAATCTGATAAATACTCGGGTGCTATGCCCCCCTCGGTCAAATCAGATAGGCTCGAGTGTCGATGCTCTTTCTATTACATAATTCCATTAATCGCATTCATCTTCAGGAAAAGAACCAACTACTTTATCAAACATATTTTTATTTTTCGGACGAAGTCTATCTGTTATCAGTTTGACTTGCTGTAAAATTAACAGGGAAGGACTGAACATTAGAAGAATTTTCATTGGTCATTTTAAAATGACAAACGGAAATCGTGAATCTCATTGGTCATTCTGAAATAAAATGTAAAGGACAGTTCTTACCATTTTAAAAACAATGTAAAGGATAGTTCTTACCATTCTTTCAAAAAAAGTGAGGATAGATCTTTGATAAAATGTAAGGGATAGTTTGTCACTATAAAATAAAATGTAAAGGATAGTTCTGAAATAAACTGTACAGGGATGATGATAGTTCTTTAACTTTTAGGGTAATTTGTAAATGATCACAACATTTATAAAGTCAAACGGAAAACAAATAAAAAGAACACCTTAAATCGAAGTTGTTCTTCTTTGAAAAATCACCAAAATCAATATGCTAAAATTTAATTTCAATGTTTACAAAAGGGGTATTTTCTTAATAGCTACAAGAAATAGTTATCATGTCATTGTCATGCAGGCATTGCAAACATTTCTGCTGTATTGAAAACTAAAAAATAACATATTTTTGTATGTTAAACAGATACACTTAGGCCGAGTTTGTTTTCATAATTTTATGGTACAGAAAGTAATGAAGTCGACCGAAAATATGCGAACTTTTAGATAGAATATTTTTCACTTTCTTGTACTAGCGAAACTTACTGATGTATCCATGGAGAACACCAATGTGTTATCATCGGTGTCGGCGTCTGTTGCCGTAAGAACTACAACTACGTCATTTCCTTTCTTATCCTCGTCTAAATATAGTTTATGCAACGGATTATTGACATCTGGATTTGGCGTAATGAAAACTGGAGCCACGGCTTCAATATGACATTATAAAAATAATAAGTAAATGTAGTCTAATAAATAATGCTTTAAAATAGTGCATGAATTAAAAAAGAAACAAGTTGAATATAACTAACAATGTAGAGCACGGTAAACAATTCTTTATTGTTATAATAATAAATAAAGTTATTCTATACCGTAAATAAAAAATGTCAAGAGTATCAATTTTGAAGAATGTCGTTATAATACAAACCATATACATGTGGCATCACCCCTAGCAACACAACGACTAAACACGCCAGCGTTGTCATCCTGAAATTGTTTGACAACTGCTAAATTTGTATGACAACTGCTAAGCGAGATTATTTAGAAACAAAGCATACAACTTAAAGTGTATAAAGCTATATTTGATGAAATTTTTTATAAAGATATATAAAAACATTCACATAATAATTCTTTCTTGAAAGATTTGTGACAGATTATCTATAATATTTATATACAAGAATATTGCACGTCAACAGAATAAAATTTTCTGGAACAAAACATTCCGAGAGATCCATCAAGAGCAAAGATCGCTAAAATTTATTTTTTAACAAAACTACTTGGTATTTTCACGTTTTATTGAACTTTGCATATTTTTTTTATCTTAATTGTGAGTTTTACTATCAACCATAAACACTGACCAATAACTCCGATCTAACACGATGATGGTATTTAAAGATCCTGTATGTTTTGTGATTGATATTGTTACTGTGTGTATACCACACTTGCAAAAAATTATATATGTATATAATTATGCAAATAAAATAATTTTCAACCATCAAAGAATATGTGAAATGTGTACTGCAACATTTTGTGCACATTATATTTAATCAATAAGTTATATGCATTCATTTCTTATTGGAAAATTTGACTTTAAATAAATTCTAATTACCTCCCTTTATTAACAAAAAATGTTAAATTCGGTAATATCTTTGTAAATAATGCTTATTGGAACTTACAATATTGACAAATCTTAATTTGAGCATCATATTTATGAAATAAAACCATGAAAAAAATGTGTTATATGATCTTTAAGTGATTTGCAGATTGCAGAATTTCTTTGTAGAGCAGCTTTTTGATATCTAGAATCGCAGCTGTATGAAATAAGTATCGCTAGATGAGGGCTTTTATATTAACACCTTAAATAACTTTACTACTATTGAACCGATCCGCCGGGTATGTCTTTTTTTCATTGTTTCATACCATAGCAAACTTAACTACAGCTTGATTAAGAATTGGATTAAGATGCAATCATTCTAAGCCGTATTTGCACTATCCTCCAAAAAAATAAAATGACTAATACTCTTCTGGAGGACTCGCCAATATGGGCAACCGGTGGCGAGTATAAATAAACGCAAATACACACACACACCGTATTTATCCAACAGAAATCAGTTTTCCGGTGTCTCCTTAAAATATTTATGAACACTAAATTTGTTTTATTATCGTTATACACATGTAAATGTATGATTTTGATATTTATAATGGTAATAAACAATGCTTTGAAATGTTATGAATAACTTAAACCATTTATATGTCTCATATACGGATATGTCAATTGACATTGCGCCAGAGAAGAGATTTCTCCGCCCACTGATTCACGTGACCCGGTCATTCAGAACCTTAGACAAAACACCGTACCGACGTTTACAGGAAACTTTTATGCCACTAAAGTGACTAATAAATTAACCTTTAGTTATATAAATTGGTATATATAAAATGATAATACTTTTCTTGGATAGTTCAATGTATGTACATGTATTATGGTAATTAAAAAAGTAACAAATAACTGCATTCATGAATTTATTACGAATAAAACGTTTGGTAAAGATCTTGTTATATTTCTCTTTGACTTCAAGGAAGATGTTTCTGACAAAATATCATTTTAGTTTACAAATTAAAATATAGTTAAAATTGATGTAGCGGAACATATAAATAGTAAAATATATCAATAACACAGTAACATTTACAAATGTTTTTAGGGTTTTATCACTTATATATAATGTATTTGTGCATTATTGTTAAAACTGAATGAGAAAATTGGCCTTGCGTAACTTTGCAGTATGATATATGATTATATGTATATTTCTACATTAGATATGTTTCGTGATAAAACGCAATATTATTCACTCCAAAATAAGTCTTGCATACACCAGACGGTGAGACCTCGGTTTTAAATTAAAACCGTGATCAGGTATGATGTTATTGAAGCAGATGTATCTTAATATTTAATCTAAATTCATTGAGCTTTCATAGAAACATTTTGGTAGGATAATTTCACATAAAATATTCATTGCATACTCTCTCTTTTTATTTGCAAGTATTTTTTTCTACTGCAGCATTTTATTGACACTAAGTAAAAACGAACAAAAAATGTTGTATCAGACCTTAAAATATATATTATGTGATTATCACTTACTATAATTGTAATGAATGAAGGAATAGAGTATTTGTTTAAACTTTTTCCTTTTTAAATGCATTTAGGTATAGCCATGCTTCATAACCTCTGATACCCATTCAAAATTCCATTTTATTTAGTTCCGCCCATTGTTACTCGTTAAGGGCAAACGCATTGTTTTACTTGGGACCATATGCCGCTTTTCATGGAATGGCACTAACGTGTCACATGGAAGGTTCCATGATAACTGCCATATGAACACATCTGCGGATGTTTCAAATTCCATATTTTACCAGGTCATGTTAAATGTTAAATACTGCTTAAGCCGGTGCTAGGGGGCGTGGACGGTTTCTTGTACATTCCATTACAGTCCATGAACAGGCTCAATCAAACATTTTAACTTTTGTCGTTTTGTCCGTTCTTTAGGGATTCTTTATTTCTCTCTATTTTAACTGTCGACTTAGAGATGTAGGTAACATCTAGATAATATCTATGTCTCTGCTTTTGTACCTGCTATATAACTTATTATCTTCATATATACAAAGTTACTGATATTTTTTGTTGTAAAATGAACTAATTGACTCCATCTGTCAATATTTTAGGATAGTTTGTAACTTTGATATACCGATTTCATAGCTTTAAATTGACAAAAAATCAAAATAATTTCAATATAAATACTACTGCACCATTGCCTTATACAAAAAGCTAGTGTAAGGAAAATGGCGGATTTTGCAGACATCTAAGCGTGAAACTGATAGCGATCGCCGACTGGCTCATCTGTAAGACCCCTGCCAGTTTGAGTGACAGGCGGCATTGTAACACCGCACTTTGGGGTCAAACGCACTTTGGGGTCGGACCCCAAAGTGCGTTACGTACTTTGGGGTCGGACCCCATAGTGCGTTACGCACTTTGGGGTCCAATTTCGACCCCAAAGTGCGTTAAACAGGTACATATGCATTTTTTAACATCAGGCAAACGACCGCACTTTGGGGTCATAGAAAATTAAAGTTCATTATGTTTTAAATAATATATTGTAGTCAAAGCCAATGGTAAACAAAAAAATCAAGGCATTAAATAGACACAAACATGTGCCCTGAATTATAGTAGAATCAATAGGGATTTAAATGATCTTGATCTTGAATAACTTTCGCCAAATAAATCACCAAATAAAGAATTTGTATCAATTGTTAAGCTTAAAATATTTTTTCTCAACTTTTCCATTTATTTTAAAAGAATGTACACCTTTCATTAACTCCATTGTTTTTAGATAAATGCATTATTTTCTTGTTTTTTATTTACACATTTTTAAGAAATATGATAGTCTTAGCATAGACAAAGGTATTAATTCTGGGAAATCTTAGTAAGACATTTCAGTAAAAAATGTGCCTGATAATATGTTGAAAGGGCCATTTATTTAGCTAAATGTGACATATAAGAAACTTGACTAGGTGTAGATGCGGCTTTAAGTAGTAGTCCGTACAGGCAGTACTAAAAAATGTCAACTATTTAAGTAGTCGCACATTAAGAGCGGAGCTTCAGATAATGTAAAATTCTCTTTGGGGTATAGAGGGGATGTGGGGTATTGATCCCCCGAGGGTTAAAAATAACGTTTTAAAGGCACATTATGCTTTTATTTGTTTTTTCTTAAAAAAGCTTTTTTTATTTTGATGTTCTTCTATATTATCCAAAAAAATACACATTGGCCAATTACCTGAACCATCTTTTTCATTTCTGTTGCTTCTGGCAATGATGAGTACAGTTTTATAGTGAATTAGTATTTTATATGGAAGTCAAATACTACAGTGTTTTGACTTCTTTACGACGAATAATTTCACAGTTATCGTTTACTTTATTCAGGTAACAAGGATCTTACATTTCTCAGATACCATTATTTTAACATTATAAAATTCATGTTTGCTCTTTCTTAAGAAGTATGTAAGATTTCCCATAAAAAAGCCTCTGGCGAACGGTTGTTCTGGAGCTAACAAAAACCCTTAAGTTTGTTGATAAGCTTAATAATGTTTTTGTAAAAATCACTATTTATAGTCCGATCGAAAACAAATTTCACCAGAACATTGCAATAGAGTATATTTATAGTTCTTTGGAAAAAGACATTAACTGCATTTTTCATTCCCAACATATTTAAAATGGGGCTCAATATGGCACCAAAAGTTATCAAGTAAATGACCGACAGAACGGGATACTTTTCGCAGCATCTTTTAATTCTAGGAATACATTTCTGTACTAGAGTATTTTGAACGGTGGCATAAAAGTGACATTTGTATTTTTTTTCTACTTTTTTTGTTTTTCGTAATATTTTTGTTTGTTTGTCGTAGATATTTTTTTTACTTGTAGTTTTGAATACATACTTTTTTTTAGTTTTGCATACATATTCTTTTTTAGTTTGCATACATATTTTATTTTAGTTTTTTTGTACATATTTTATTTTTGTTTTTTCGTACATATTTTTACATGGCGCCATTTGCAAAGTAGAGGTTTGGATAATTACACCATTTGTTTAACACCATTTTCAAACACTTCTTTTTTTTAAATGCGTTTATTTAAGGTCGCCGCCAGAAAGGCGACCGTACACTCAAGTCGGGCCATCCTAGAGCGTCCCGCCGAGATTTTTTCGTCGATTTTTTTTCCAGCTTTATTGGTGGAGGAAAACCACAGGTGCCCCTCCGGGCATTATTTCAGGCACGAGCGGGCACCTGGGTAGAACCACCGACCTTCCGTAAGCCAGCTGGATGGCTTCCTCACATGAAAGATTTCCACCCGAGTGAGGATCGAACCTACAGCGATGAGGGACCTGTGATCTCAAGTCAGCGACCTTAACCACTCGGCCACGGAGGCCCCTCAAACGCCATATGTAAATTAGTTTTATACTCAACTATGGGCTGAGATTTGAAGGCTGTTTTGATTGGCTAAAATATGTATGAAAAACAAAAATAACATATGTAC